ACATGTGCAACTATTCAGTTAAACATAATGCTTTTGGAAGTGTTCAGTCCCCCAGCCTGATCCCAAATACATACAGTATTTCAACAACTGCTGACAAGTCTTACCAGCAACACATGCAAATATTGTCCTAAAATGGATTCCAAGGAGAAAGACTGATGTCAAATTGCCCTATCATCCAAGTCATATCTTCCTGGCCTTTTATGAGAGTGCCATTTCCCCAGAACCTTATCAATAGCACACATTATTGCTCACTTTAATGTTTGTCATTGGAAGAGAGAAATAGCACCCTATTTGTGTTTCAGGGTACATTGTCTCAGACTTTGGTAAGGCTGGACAAGTGTCAAATCTCATTTTTTAGGTTGTTGTTCTGTAGTGTTCTTTTGCCTGGAAAACAACAGGTATTCAACATGAACTACTCTGTTTATATTACCAGGTAATATTAGTCAGCTTTCCATTACTGTAGCAAATGTTCAAAACTATCAACTTAAAAAGAAAAAAGGTTTACTTTGGCTCACAGTTTTCTGTCCAGGTTTCTGTACATGATCACCACACCAAAGAGATTATATGATTATGGAAGTTCCCACCCATGGCCAGTAAAGACTGGAAAATTCTTCCTCTGGCAATTCTTTTTTAGGACAATTAGAGTTACAAGTCTTGTTTCCAAGCAAGAATAATTGTAGCCTCCTAAGGACCACAGAAGAGATAGTGCTTGTGAAAGATCAAAGTAGAAATAGCCTAATACTGCATGACTTTCTATCTTTCTATATCTATAGTATCTGCAAGAGACTGCAGACTTGCAGGCAAGAACAATGTGACAAATGTTTAGAAACAGAAAGTGCTGCCCCTGGGTTCCCCAGTATCACAACTGGCTTTGCCACTGTATATGCCACTGATCGGAGAAAAAAAAATAATAACATCATTTCTCTGTCATCTTCTTCTTCTATGTTAATGAAGTCCACCTTTGTGCCATAGGTTTATGAGGAGAGTCCAATGATGAAATACACATAAAATCTTAAAAAAAAAAAAAAAAAAAGTCAGTAAGTGCCTGCATGGCAAGGGTGTAGGTTGTGAGTTCAATCCCCAGTACCAAAAATAAGTCAGTGTTTCTCTACACATGGGTGGAGTTATTGTATGAACTTTGGACCCCCAGTGTGTGTGGACCTGAGCATGTAAATCCTGTGATTATCATTACAGGAACCCCAGTTTTCTCCCTTTCTCAGCCATTATAGGGCATGAGCTCTCAGAAGACACAAATAAATTCAGGATGGAACAAAGTTGTCACAGTGAAGGCCAAGTGTGCCTATGTGTGTGTGTGTGTGTGTGTGCATGAGAGAGAGAGCTTGCACATGTGCTTAAGATGTCACCTATTTCTCTTTGAGTTTCATATATTTTATGCAAAGAATTGCTGAATATTCATTGATCTATGTAGTATCCACAAGTACGCTATCAGAAATGCATTGCTTATCTATATTTTCAAAATGTTGAAATAATTCAGTGTTGATCCTTTCTCGAGATAGGTTTGCTACCTTTAAACCCAAGTGACAATAACACACATACCGCCTTCGATTTCTCTCAAGTTGTGCTCATATCCTTGATGTCTATAATAGGCCAGAGACTGCCTGCGAGAATTCTGTATGTCACCATTAAATTGAAAAAGGCCTGAAATAGCAAAACCTCACTTCTGCTAGGAAAGGGAAAGAAGCAAGAAAAGGGCAGGCGGATGGTTATTCATGAGCCTCCCAGCTTGCCATGATAAATAACACCAGCCTCCGTCTCCTCTTCTCTGGGCTCATAATTTTCTCTCTGAAGGTGTTTTACCTGCACAGGAAGAGCCAGAGACGTCTAGTAAAAATGATTTTTAAGGCATCTTAAAACACAAAAGCCTGTGTCTGGGTTATGAGCCCTTCTTTTTGCATACAGCAAACAATGCCCAATTAATCTCAGCAAATGGAGGCGACTGGGCTAAAACAGCTTGCATGCTTGATCTGGGGTTTTGTGACAATCTAGGTACATTAAAAGAAAACTAAATAACTGTGTGAGAATTTGCTTTCAAACATACAAATGAAAGCGCCCAGGTTGGAGCTTCGACCCCAGCAAGCACAGGGTTCACTGTCCAAACACGGGTTCAGCACACAGGTGGCACGCACGCACGCCACCTCCACGTACAAAGGGTAGCGTGTATTTGGAATGAACAGCGGTGCAAAAATAATCAGTAAAGTGCAGCCTCTAGCTTCTCTCCGCAGGCTCCGCGTGCCCTTGCATTGTTTCGACAGGGAGCTGCTGCCTTCCTGGTGCTGACAGGCAAGGCTAAGTGACATGTCTGGCGAACAATTTTACTGTTTTCCTTTCTCTCCTTATGAACGATATTTATAGACTCTGAATTGCATTTGGTGCGGCTTTCCCACACAGTTATTTAGTTGGGCGTGGATTAAATGCAGATCAGGGTGTTGAAAGACATTTACATAAGTGCTGTTTGTGAACATGAAGGCCAGTTTGTCTATTATCGCCAGAACATTTAAATCTTAATGACTGGCATTGTTGTCTAAAAGACGGTGTTTTTCCTGCTGAGAAACTGCATTAGATTCAAGAAACAGAGCTCATTTCCATTCTCCCAGCAGTCTCTCTAGAAATGACATGCAGTGCTTGAAACTGTTTATTTCCAAATTCAGGCCTCCCTCGCATCAGTCATCAGCTTCAATTACCAGTTTTCCGGAGCCCAGCCGTCAGGCAGTCTGACACTGAGGTCCGGCCTAATTCCCACCTTCTCCAGAGTCAAGAGCATAATGTGCGGATGAAAAGGTGCAAAATAGCCCGGACTTCATTAGCATGCAGGGCCTGGCTGTTCATTTGCTGGCTGTGAATGGAAGTTCTGACACTTGGAGCTCGCTGCAAAATGAGAAAAGTCCTCTTCAGGGGAGATGAGGTCCTCCGTGGTAAGGAAAGGTCATCAAAAAGACAGCCACTGCCCTTGCTCCCTGCTCTCCACGACTGCTTACTGATTCCAGGAACACCTCATTACACGCTGGATCAACATATTATTGCCATGTTCTGGGACTGAATTGTTTACAAGTGTCTTTATCGCCGGCAAAGGCCTGCCCAGAGATGCGTGACTACACTCATTTGGCTGTGACCTGCCAATTATGTGTTATCCGATATGCTGCTGGGTATCTTGATCTTTGCCCGGGTCTTCTCCTGGTATCAACACAGTCCCATTTACTACTTCTTTCTAACCACTCTTTGGGAAAGTAGCCATTAGCCTGTCAGTGTGTAAATGTGTGTGTGCGTGTGAGCATGTGTGCCTGTGTGTGTGTTACCTCTGCTACTGGGAGTCAGAACATCCTTGCTCCATTATTTGCTATGCATGAGGCTCATAATCATTTGGGGGAAAGCAATCCCCCACTTTCTCATGGCATCTCGGGTAACCCACACAGTTTACAATCAGTATGCAGAGCGAGTAATACAGCGCATTCCTGAGCTTCCTCTGCTCACATATAGGCCCTACGAGAGGGCTGTCATATTTTATTTGGGCAGAGTCACTGCAAACCACTGCACAGGACCATTTTCATCTTTCATTACAGACACTTCTATGGCTCCATAAACGGGAGAGTGGAATGGCAACTCGATTAAAAACTTAGTAAAGACACTGTGCAGATGCCCCGCCCCAAAAGGGGGGGATTCAAGCCACATTTTCAAACCAGCAAACTTCATTTCCATACCCTCCCCTGGTGACTACTGATATCATTTCAGTGATGTCGGGAGTTGACAAGTTTTGTTTATTTTTATGAACATTGGGTGGAGAAATTATTTTTTTTAATCGGTACCGCGTATTGAACTCATGACCGCCTGCTTGCAAGGCAGATGTTTATGCCACTGAGCTAAATCCCCAGCCCCCAGTTGGAGAAATTTTAATGACCCTGCCAAACATTTGGGCCATCTCAACTGACTACGGAAGAGGGACTGTGTTACTTACATTCCCATTGCCACCAATAGCTTTTTGGTGCATTTTCCAATGTAGGATATAGCAAAGCAAATGCCAAGAAACTGGCTTCCACTTATCCTGAATGCTCAGCTCTTTGGCAATGGGCACATACAAGAATGAATAAAAAGAAACTCAAGAATCTAGGATGGCATCTGTATGTGCATTCATTTTCAGCAATTTCCCAGGTTCATCTTCCTTAATTTATTTTCTCCATGCATTTTTTCCCAAAAATTGGAGAGTTGTTTTTTAAGATACTGAGTTGCTTTTTTTCTTCCCAAATTCCTTCAATCCTAGTTTTCTGACAAAGGACTAACTGAAGAGGATAAATAATGATTCCCCTCATCACCACACTGCAGGTACCCTGAAGTCCACGGAGAGATTTGCTGCACCTAGTGTTGGTGCATACTGCAGGTTCCAGAGTATTGTCGACCAACAAATAGCCTTTGGAAGACAAGAAGATGACTGGAAAGATTACTCAGTCACTTTTGGAGACCTGATTACTGTGGAGAACTTTGGTCAAGGGATAAGGAGGGAATGTTTACCAAGATTCCCATCCAAGGAAAGAGTCTCAGTGTGGTTGGGATCCAGAGAATGGCAAAAAAGGATGATTCTCAATTAAAAGGGGTCATCCCAAGGAAATGCTTTCTTTGCAAATGTGTGACAGGTTGTCATCTTGCCCAAGCTATAGGCCATCTGAGATCAAACGTTCTAGGTAGAGGGACTGCTCTTGCCAGAAGCTTCTGACAATTTGTATAACCAGGTCATCTGCTATTTCAGCCATAAAAGAGAATTCCTCTGTTATGGCTTTAAAATCCCATCTTTTTTATGAATCTCCCCAAAAAGGCAACAAAAGATTCTCCTCTCTTAAAATGCTTCTAAATTATGCTTCTGAATTTCATCCCTTAAAGAGTCTCAGGTGCCTACTTGTATTTTCTAAGGGCTAATGAAACACGCATACACACAATCTGCAAACACAGAGATGTGGCAAAATGATCAGATGATAATTAACAATAACAAAGCCTTGTTTTATAAAACATTTATTAAATACAATGTTGTACTAAAAGAACTGTCTAGAAAGTTGGCAAACATGCATTTATTACTTACAGCAACCCTATGATTTAGGTATTGTTATTCCTGTTTTACAGAGGAGGAAATCTTTTCATATACCTCAGAGCATCCAATGTGCTCAATACCACCTGGCCAATGACAGCCACACAATGCAAGTAAACCCCCAGTGTGACGTGAGGCTCCACCCACATTGTATCCCACCTCTATAGAGCAAAACATCCATTACAGATTTCCAAGAACACATAAAAGTACATTTTCTGTGTGGGAGTCATCAAAGCACAAAAAGTTGCCAGTTATAATAGTGAGGAGTCAAAACCATCACCTCTGACACATTTACTCTCTGGAAAGAGGTGCATAAAGTTCACAGAATAAAGAAAATTTTGATCCAAAGGGGTAATTCAAACCATTTAATTTTTTACAATGGAGTGGGATTGCAGGAATAATGTATTTAGGGGCTACAGAATTTCCCAAGTGGTCAGTAGGAAACATTGAGAAACTCTGGTCAGTCTTTGGCACCTCATACCAAACATCTGCCCAGCTATCTTCAGTGGTTTTACTGAAAAACTATGTACATAGTGACATACTTCCTGGAGTCACAATAGTCATTTGCTCCAGGGTCTACTCTGCCATTGGAAACCTCAGTCTAGAAACCTCAAACCGGAATGGGTTGATGCACATGTATTGACTGACCACAAACCTAGTCAAAGGTTCTGGAATCTCCCCCTGGTTCATGTTCCCGTGGCTCTCCAGTGTCCATGAGAATGGCAGTCATTCAGTACATCCCAGGGCTGCTGGCCTGGTTGCTCTGCGGGCAGAGGCCTCAGGTCTTCCAGCACTGTCTCACTGTGCCCGTGTCTTCTGTGAAGAAAACAGAAACACAGCTCTCATAGGCCACAGATTCCAGTCCTTCCCAATCTGTCTTGGGCTTGTGTTTCAAAAAAGGGCCCGTGCTTTCAGCAGAGAAATGTGTACCACAGTAGGAGGAAGGGGATGTTTAAAAGGGGACAACTTGTAGGAACCTTCCAGGTGACTCACACCACTTATGAACACCAACACTGCTGCACACAGATACATATGTCACCTAAGCTGCACTCAGGCCTGGAGAATTCTGATTTTTCAGAATACGCAACTGAAACTTTAGATAAACCTACTAGAAATGAGCTGTACAAGGGCTGGGGATTTAGCTCAGCGGCATAAGCACCTGCCTTGCAAGTGTGTGGTCATGAATTCGATCCCCAGTACCGATAAAAAGGAAAAGACAAAAAAATTTAAAAATTAAAAAAAAAAAAAAAAAAAAAGAAATGAGCTGTACCGATCTGGATCTTGATGCCAGGGTCTATGGATGCCAGCCACTCTCTCCCCTGGTCCTGATTTCTGTGCCGGTTGTCTGCATAGATATGCACTGAGAGTTTACCATGTGCTCTAAACTGTGCACGATGGTCTTGGAGCTCAGACCTGGGTTTCCTGTGCTCCGAAAAGCCAACAATAAACAGCAATAATGTCCCCAGAGAGTGAATGATTAAGGACAAAGTAAGATGGATAACAAGAGGTACCCTAGGAATTTGGAGGGCAATAAAAATCCTCTCCAGCATAATGGGAAGGGCTTTCTATATGAAGTGGAACAGATATATGACTTGGGATTTGAATAAGTGGGAAAAGGGATGAGTAGGAACAACAGATGGTATCCAAACCTGGCCACACCCATGGCTCCCAGCCTGTTACACTTCTTCCACCAAGAGAAGGGTGCTAGATGACTCCTTCTCTAATTTAGTCCAACCTAGTGACCTACTTAGACCAACAGAATGAGATTGCAGAGGCACTCTGGGACTCTTGGCTACACTAGCCTTAGAAGGATGGGGAGCTTCTACTGCCTTCCTCCTGTGACCCAGTCACCATGCTGTAGAGAAGTCTATGCAAAGCCAGCAATGATTAGATGCCACTGAATACAGGCCCTAGAATGTGAGAGTCCATCCTGGAAGTTCCACATGAAAAAAAAACCCAAGCTAATCCCTCTATGGAGAAGTGCCCAGAATGTCCTGCCCGAATTCTGACCCACAAAATCAGGGAAAAGCAAACTGTGTTGTGTTAAACCACTAAGATGTGGGGTGGCTGTAATCAACAATAGGTAAGTGACACTGAGAGAACAATGTGGGTGAGAAGAGGTAACAAGAAGTGTAAGAGTGATAACCTAGTTTTCTTGCTGGAAGAGGGCATAAATAAAGGAAAAATAAATGCATTCAATATTGGTGGAACCCTAAATTGAGTAAACCAATGCCTATGAAGGCAGATGCTTCAGAATTGCAACTGGAAGAATGTAAATTGAAAAACTGGCCGTAATAGCTTTAAGGCAGGAAGGAGATCTCCAACACCACCATTGATGCCCTCTGCAGTAGGTGTAGTCAATGCGTGTGCATGGCTCCCTGTTCTTGTGCATCAGTGTGTACCAGCTCAACACCTGCCCACCAGCCCAGGCAGCTCAAGACCAGGGGTCTTCTCTTTGCCCCTTGACTCTCACTGCCTGAACAACAGGCCAGAAGTGTTAGGGAAACAGTGTTTGCAAAGAATATCCTCCACTAGGAACTGATGGCAGTAGACTCGCTGGAAGGCAAATTTTCTATTTTGCTGCTCAGGTTTCTCCAATTGAATCAACTGACTTCTGTTTATTTGCTATATAATGCACTGAATAGGCCCTGCCCTTCTCTGCCCCTCAATACTTATTGTGTCTCTTGAGATCACCTTCCAAAAAACTGATTGCTTTTGGACAAACCTAGATACCATCATTTTATAGTTAGGAACAATAATGCAAGGAATACTTTAAGTGGGTACTGTGGGAAAGGGAACCAAAAGATGCAGTTTTTCCATCAAAATAGAAATTTATTTTCCCCATATAATGTCCAGAGTGAGAGGACAGACTCTGCTTAAAGAAGTCCCCTTGGAAAGACAGGCTAATGCATTTTACTGTACTCAATACATGACTCCCTTTACATCATTCCCAGGCCAGCGCATCACTTCTACCTGTGTGCCATTGGTGAGAGCTAATCACATGCACCACATGTGGCTGCAAAGGGGTTTGGGAAATGTAGTTCAACTGAACAGCCAAGTGCCCCACAAGAAGAAAATGAATTGGTGAGAAGATGCAACTGAAGTCTGTGACACAGGGAGATTAGTTAATTGTCCAAGTGCCTGAGCCTAGTTAATGGACAAAAAGAACTATAAGTTTTTCTGTCTACTATTTTGTCTTTCTCTCCCTACACTGATTGAAAGTAACTATAGCAAGTCTCAAATGTCACACTGAAGAGTCTGGTGTTTTGTAGGGTCCATTTCCACTCATTACAGAGGCAGCAAGACAGGATCATTCCTAGGAGCTGCTCTCAGGTATGGTCTACTGGATTACATCATCTGGCCAGAGCAAATAGCAGAAAAGGCCCACACCCCCATTATCCAAGACCCTTCCATTAAGCACAGCCAGCCAGCCTCCTGCTAGCCTGTGTTGTCTTTGGTAGGGATATATAAACAGCACCATTTTGCCACGGAGCTGTACTGCCTTAGAACAGGATCTTAAAAACCTTACACACCTATCCTGACAGAGATGTGCCCCTGAAGTTACATGAAGCCAAACCTGCCTCTTGTCTCCCAGTGGGCACGGGGAGAAAGACAGGGAAGAGCAGAGGATAACTGACATCCGAGGAGGTCAGAGTCATTTTACAGTCATCTCTGGGGAACATGTACTTGTCTCCACAGCCTCTGCTAACCCACACGCCAACATGCATGGAGGTGCTGAAAAGCTAGTTCATTTAAAGATTAAAACAGCAGAAAATGAGAGCAAATAGGTACATCCAAATAATCCTATTTGTAACTTTAATATGAATTTAATAAATTAATAAATTTCATAGATTTGCGTTTAACCTGGACATATTATGTATATGTTGTAATTTTAAAGGGCAATGGGAGTAAATGAGTTGGAAGACTGTGTTTATTAGGACAATTTGTTTAATGGCTTTGCACTATTCACAGCTCTCAAATTAGAAATAAAAGAACTCAGTGATAGAATACTTATGCTTAAGCACAAGGCTCTGGTCTGACCTTCAGCACCAAAAGGAGAAAAAACAAAAATAAAAACACCTCATCCTTACAGAGATTACACCGAGTTGTTACATCATCACCCACCCCTTGCCACCCTCAGTGTGTCTCTCAGGTAGAAGGTAGCTATCTGTGACAGGTTGGAAATTACCAGTTCACAATGCTTACTTTATCAAACACATCTATAATTCCACTTTTTAAGTCCACATGAACAAGCACAGCAATTTCCTTTAGTTTCAATTCTACAAAGAAAAGTGATCCTATGGATTCTACCCCTCCAAAAATTTCTGATTATACGCTACAGAGTTCTACTGAGGTCTAATGCAGACCTCAGTCTCAACAGACTGTATTGGATATATGTTTCTAATCACCAAAAAGCCAAGCATTTATCAGAATAATCCTTCCAAACTCATCAACTTTAATGGTATCCAGACGGCTTTTCTGGAGAGGGCTCATTAGTTAAAAAAAAAAAAAAAAAAACCTCAAAATTTCCCTGTTCTGTGATTTTATTTACATAGTCAAAAATATAATCTGAGTTTCCTGTCTTCTTGTTTAATGGCCATTTTCTACCCATATACTGCTTTGAAAAATAGTCAAACAAATGTAAAGAAGATAAATATAGAGCATAAATGAAGTACCGCCAACGGAGGTGGGTTGTGTGCATAAAAATGAGTAAGCACCAGAGTTGCAGATTAAGAAACTGAGTATGTTGGTGTTTAAAATTAGAATGGCTCCCAAAAGAATTGATAATGCTCCATTTAAGCAAAGAAATGTTTTCAAATCACTCTGCTGACCAGAGAAGTCTGAATCAAAGACAGAAATTAATAAAAGAATGCAGACAGAGACCCCCCCAATTATAAATAACAGAGATGATTTGTATGCATATAAAAGCCTGCAAGGCCCAGTGGTGTCTATAGTTCTACGGGGAGAATCTAATGAAATGCAAGAAGAAAATGTTAAACATAGAAATAAATGTGCCTGGTAGAAATTCTATTGTCCTCTTCTGTGACACAATGACTTGTTTTCTGGAAAAGTAATTCTTCCATAGAGCCCAGGCAAGCATTGTATTCACTATAAAGTTGTATATTTAGACCTATACATGAGGGGTCTGCCTGTCTTTAAAGCTCAATGCTTCCTGGGACTCATTAGAGTACAAGGACAAAGCTCTATCATATTATTGCTTAGACACTACTCAGAACTTCTGGGTAGTTCTCAGTGGCTTCAAGTGCTTAGATTGTCAGTAGCATAGGACATAGAAGGTAGAATATTGAGTGCAAGAGGTGTATACTTCAAAGGAGCATGAATGTATAGACAGAGAGATAAAGACCCTGGCAGAACATCCTGACGTCGCTGCAGAACAATTCCAGGGTAAACACAGGTTTGCAATAAACAGCTACAATGCACAGGTTGCAAGAATTAGAACAGTCTGAACCTCATTCAAGATCAAACGGTTCCTTTCCAGACTTTGTGTGGGGAACAGGCTCTGCTACTGGTGGCAGAAAGATAAAAGGGCACTGTCCCCACTGTTGACTCTTTAGTGTTAATAATGGGAATGGCAAGGGGTAAGTGTTTAAATTCGGACCTGTTCTGACACAGGATGGCCTAGGTCTCCAAGTGCCTCCTTCCCTCCTTGGGCCACTTCAGTGTTTGGCCTGGCTGTGTGGAGGACACGCCCTCCCGACATACACACCTGTTCTGGGAAAAGGGAGCTGCTTTCAAGGTGAGGGTGTTTCCGTTGGGAGTGAAGGTGCGAAGGAAAGAGTGTGACCAAAGAGGCAGACAGGGTAAGTCAGAGAACAAAATCCAGTCCAAACGGCGCGCTCCTCTTCTGATCATTCCAGTCATCATATGGATTTATTTTAGGAATAAGGAATATCTGCATGGGATGAGAAGAATAAACAGCATGGAAGCAGGGTGTGGACAGTCAGCCCACCTGCCTGAACCCTTCCTTCTGCAGTCGCCCCTGAGCCCTTCCTTCCCTACAGATTCTCCAAGCACAGGCGCAAGTCACTCAATTCCAAAGGAGCAAGAGTAACAGCTCCCTGGCCCAGGCAGCCCCTCCCCGGCTCTTCCATGCTGCAGGCTGCCGCTCAGTCTGCAGCCCGTTCAGTCGCCTGGGGGCCTTAACAGAGGACCTGCCTGCACCCCGGTGACCCGGGCGGCTTCGATTTAAAAAAAAAAAAAAAGTTAGGGTTATTACTTAATGATAATGACTTATTTTACACATTGTCGTCTGTTGATGTTTAAAAGATAAGAAGACATTTGTCAGGGCGGACGTCTGAGGTCCTCAGAGGGCTCCAGGAGACCCTGCCAAAACGTTTCCAAACTGAATAGCCATTGGGCCGCCAGATAATTCAGAAACTGTTTGTATGAGCTGTTTATCAAATTATTAACCGCACAGATGTTGTTTGGCTGAAGAGCAGCTGAATCCCCTCTCTGGCGGCCGCGGAGACAAAGGTCTCTAGGAATAATTGGAGATGTGCACGGAATATTAAATTAATTTACTGCTCTTAATTCTTATGCAAATTCTGACCTCCGATGGAGCCTATCAATTACTTCGCGCATAGTGAAAGCGAAGGCCACAGTTTCTTTTCTTCTCTTTGCTTTTTTTTTTTTTTTAACTCGAAAGAGGAAATATTTGCAGTAAGCAGGCAGTAGAAGCACCACGTAACTGGAATTATTTAATTAAATCGCCAAGTCTTCAGGGATGTCCGCCGAGGATAAAACCCCGTGTCGCAGGGGAAAGGATAGGAAGGGTGCAGAGGGCAGAGGAATTTGTTGTTTTGGCAGTACACCTGGGGGCGGTCAGCGCGGAGAGGGACGGTTGGAGACAAAACCGGCTCGAAGGCGGATTTGGAGTCTCCGTGATTGCTGGAGCTTAGAGCCGGCGCGGTGCGCTTCTGCAAACGGAAAAAACAAAACTCGGACCCCGGGTGCACGCCTTGGTGCGTCTTTTCCTCCACCTCTGCCTGCAAGGTCCCTATCTGAATCCTGGCTTGCCATTCCTTATCTTTTAAGAGTTTTAACCAGTCTTTACAAATCTCCCTCCAAAAAACACCGTCATTGTTGTCTTTTACTTGGAAACCCAAACTCCTATGCACTCTCTTCAACTCTGCTGAAATCCCGGGTGGGGCGAAGTCTGCTCTAAATGTCCCCTGGTAGAGCGGTGACACCTACTCTTTTCCTGAACTGAGCAAACGCCCGTGCTTTGTCTGCTCCTGTGGCTTAGGCGCAGGGCGGCTTCTGCGCCCGGGTGGCGGGCTGTAAGGCTGGGGTCTCCGCGTTTTTCATCATCTTTCTAATAAGGAAAACCCAATCGGGCGCATAATGTCATCAGTCCCGGCCCGACCTTGCCGGGACCTCCGCAGCCCGAGGATGTCGCCTGCGGCCCCCGGCGCAGTCAGGACGTGCCACAATTCAGTTCCTCTCGGTCTCCACAAAAGCCAGACAACAATATCAATTAATCATGCAGCGAGCAAACAAGGAGATTTATCCCGCGACAAACAGCCCCTCCGAGAGCCGCTGAATGGGCGTGATTAGCATGTGAAAAGCGAGCAAAACTCCGCAGTTCAACAGCTAAAGAGCAATTTGATGGGGCTGGGATGGGGAAATTACTTGATTAGGGTCCGTCGAAGGAGAGCGCGCGGTGACAGCCCCTCGGCTGGGAATCCTACACGGGAACAAAACGCGCGGGTAACGGCGGCGCGCGGAGGGAGCGCGGGCGAGGGAGGGGGCGTGGGGCCGGCACCGGCACCGAGGTGAGGACAGCAATCCGAGCAACTGGGTTAACTGCGGGCCCAGAGACCGTGTCCGGAGAGCTCCCAGGCCTGGACGGCGCCGCGCCAGGTCTGACACCCAGGATGGAGGTCGACCTCCGTTTACTGCGCTGCCCGGGCCCTGTCCCTGACAGCGACGGTGGCGCGCGAGGAAGGAAGCTCCCATTCCATGCCGATCTCAGTCTCCTTCTGCGTCCTCAGGGGTGCAGTCCGCACGCCTCCGTTTGCCCCCAGGGCTCCGGCCCCGCGTCGGTGTCCCGGTGCCCGCCGCGCGGCCGTTCCTTGGAGGAGCTCTGCGCCTCCGTTCCCACAGGCAGTGGTGAACTTTGTATCCCCGCAAGACCGGTTGTCCCAAAGGTCCCAGTTTTCCTGCCTGTTGGAAAAGCCGCTGTGCTTGAACTTGGCCCTCGGCAAGAACTGCTCCCTGCCGCGCCCTCCCCGCCGTGGTAGGGCTGGGGCGCGCGGGGTGGGCACAGTATGGCACCAGGCCAGGGTGCCACAGCACAGGGACATCCCGGAGCCAAACTGTCCCCGGCTGGCGCAGGGGAGCCCCAGACTTGCTCTGAATCCGAACAGGCCAGGCTGGGTTTGGCGGCATGGGAAGGTGGGCGTCGCGGTTCCTCCCCAAACCTAGGGGGCAGTGCCCAAGACCTTTGGCCCGGATTGGGCCTGGGTACACTTGGGCCTGGCGGCAGGAATTTATTTGTGGGCAAGAAGCGTGACCCGGCGAAGCGTTAAGGAGGGGCGCGACCGAGGGACAGCAAGGCAGCCCGGGTGGAAAGCAAAGGCGAGCTGAAGTCTTCCACGTCCATTAGCCTGTCTTGAGAGGCACCGCCGTCTTCCCTACTACCGACTCCTTCACCCGAAGCTAAACTCTGCCCTCAGCCAAAAGAAAGCCATTTTAAGTTTCCCACTCCGGGCGCGCCTAGTACCTTCCCTCGGGAGCGTACCCTACTCCCTGGCTCCTCCCAGTGCCAAGGAAGGGAAAAGGCTCCCACCGTAGGCCTCGCCACCTGAGTCCCTAGACACTAACATGTCTTGCATGTCACACTCGAGTAGGGCGCGCCGGGGAACCCCCAGGATCCGGCGACCTTCAGTATGCCTCGGAGAGGGGAATGCTAACTCGCTGAACACTACGACTTGCACAACAAATTCCCCAAACCGGCGCGGCTGTGGTTAACCCTATCCCCTGGCACAAAAGAACAAAGACCAAGGAGTCAACTCTTAGTTATTATATATTTAAGTGGAGGGGGGCGGCGTGGATTGCCCCCATCTAGCTGGACAGCTGTCAGTCCAACAGTATCAATTAAGCCACAGCGAGTGGCCGACTTCAAAAGACTTAAATCTTTCTGAAACGCCCCTAGCTGCCCGCCTCACGTCCTCTTCTCGCTCCCTCCGGACCCGGGGCTCCCTCCTCTTGCTTGTGAGCAGAACCCCGCCTAGGCGCACAGCTTGGCGCTGGTGGTGTAGGCAGAAACGCCTGTAGGGCACACCCGGAAGGCTACGCTCTGCGCTGGGACCTCGGACCCCGGACCCTGGAGGGCACGTGCTCGCGCCGCAGAGTCCCAGCTCCGCTAGGATCTCCAGACTTGTAAACTCTGAAGGCAGCCAAGAAATCTGTTGTCTGGCGCAGGACCCGTCTCGCGCCGCTCAACACTAGCGCGCTGGGTGGCTCAAAACGCATCCTCTGGGTGGCTGGGACCGTGCATTTTAATTCCAAAGCCAAATAGTTGAATTGTCTCAAAGTTGGCAGGCGGAGGGGGCGGTGGCAAGGAACAACGTGGCTGGATATCTTTGCTTGCGGGGTGGCAGCGCTGTTCCCACCAATACTAACTGTTCGGGGCTGGCTTTGTAGTTATTTTTACAAGTTCTGCCCAGTGCCAGTCATATTGCCCTGAAAAGCAAGAGAGGCCGCTGCAATTTATTCCAATGGGCGGTTTTTAAGAAGCTGGCAATTTGAACCGGCTGGGTGTTATTTAGTGCAATATGAAATCAAATGATCCTATTTCTCAAATAACAGTGTCTGTGAGGAGATGTGAATCCTCTGAAAGGGTAATTGTCTGCTGATGGTGTTTCCCATTATCCGGATCTTGGCCTAAATGATGCTCGGCAGCAGGGCGGAGACACAGGGGTGAAATCAATGCGCGCAGACGGCGGGTTTGCGCTCTGGAAGCAGAAAGAGGCCGCGCCGCCCGCGGCCCCGCGCATTCCCGAACAATGACACCGATGCGCCGCCGATTTCTACGTCAATTTTACAGGTGGCTTCCGAAATCATCAGACTTGAGGGATCTCGTGGATAAGAAGAATAAAACTAAGTGTTTCTCCCTTCGCTGTTTTGGGAATTGTTCGTATCCTGGCACCCTTAATTGCCAGGCGGCAGATTGACCATATTCTGGGAAATGATACCCAGTTGGTACCTGTCTTGTGCCCCCTACCATGTTAATACTGACAGCGTGGAGTCTTTCTTTCCAAGGACACATTTGTGTCTGGGACTTTTTTACTCAGATTTCCGGTTTCCTTTAATTCGGGGGGGTGGGGGTGGACAAGGTTTTGAGTCCACGAGGTACATGTTGTTTATGCTATCACGTGCATCTGTCTGTCTCTGTCTCTCTCTCTCTCTGTTTCTCTCTCTCTCTCTCTCTGTCCCTGTCTCTCTCTCTCTGTCTCTCTCTCTGTCTCTCTCTCTCTCTCTTTCTCTCTCTCTCTCTCTCTCTCTCTCTCTCTCTCTCTCTCTCTCTCTGTGATCTTTGGCTGCCACAAGGTTGGCCCTACACCTTGAAGTTGTCCCTTGTGGGCTTGTCCCCGTTGTGGGCCAGCTTGTGTCTTAGAGAAGCACAGGCCGGGAGCAAACGTAATCCAGGACTTTAATAACGGGCAGCACTGGGACGCAGCGATCTGGGCACGGGCCCTCGGGGAGCACAGGTAGGACCCAGGCCTGCCTCTGCTCTACTTTGGCAGCAGAGGCAGCATCGCCCCCTAAATCCTCTGCAGTTACTGGGGGATCAACTCACCTTGAGGAGAGTGGCCTCCTTAGAGCCTATGCCTCCCAGGGCTAAACTACACCCGGCCAGGGCCTCTTGAGGCTTCCGCCTGAGAGGTGGCTTGTTTCTGCTCTACCTAGGCAGGCTCATTTTCATTCTCTGAGAATTTTGAGCGTTTATAGTGTGTGTCTATGTTTGTGAGCGCATATTCATCGAAACTTACATACACATGACCAAACAACGAGGCATACGGATCCCCCACAGTTAACTCCATCTACAAGCACATTTGGCTGCTCATGCCCTGTCCCTCTTCCTTGCGGGTACAGTACTTCCAAGTCGTCCAAGAAACAGGAAGAAATGGTAATTTTTGCATTCCCAAGGAGCTGGCCTGAGGAAGTCTCCGTCCCTTTCTGCAAGGCGGTTCGGCCCAGTCAGCGGTCAATCAGTGGGGTTGGCCCCTTCCGGTCTACCCTCAGCCGCAGGTGAGCGCGGGGTGTAGTTTCAGCCCTTGGCGTCCGCTCCCCATGCCATTTCCCGGCTGAAAATCCCACTTGGGCACGGCCTGGTCGTGATGCCTCAACTTTCGTCCTCCAGCTCTGAGTCAGAACAAACCTAGGGTCATCGGGGACGGCCGTGATCTACCCACCTACAATGCCATCTCAAAATAAAAAGGCGACCCCACCCTATGTCCCGCCAGTGGCTCCCAGGAGCCCCTCGGAGGCCGCCTCTGCGCGCAGAAATGGAGTTCGGCACCGGCAGAAGCCACCACTTACCTCTCTGGGGCGACCTGCACCCCAGGGGCGACGGGGGCCGCGTGGAGACAGAGCCCATTCTGTGCCGTGACCCCGCGCTGCTTCTCCCAGGAAAGGGGTAGCAAGACCGGCTCTGCTCCACCATCTACGGAGAAAAGAGCCGTGGCCCCTTGGGGAGCCTCGGCTAATACAGAGTCCCCGTGGAGTCAAGCTGGAGACCCGAGACTCTGCGTCTTGTCCTCCTCCCACAACCACAGTCCTAATGAGGCATTAAACACCCATCACCTCCTCCGATGTGCCCGATGCTGGGCACGAGTGAGCTCGGCAAGAGCACCAGAGGGGCATTAGTGGGCCAATCCGTGCGCCACCTCAGTCCGGTCCCCAGGAAAACCCAGTAGGAGTCAAGGTGCGCGGGAGGCGGGGCCCGGGCTGGCGCCAGTCTTCGCCCGAAACTCTCCAAACCTCTTTCCCTGCCTGGAGCTATTGTCCGAACCCCTCGTTTCGCCATTCTGCCAGCGCAAAGCCTAGCGAAGCAGCGCCCCCGCCTCCCGGTCCCCTCGGCGAGTCACGGCCCCCACACCTCCCCAGCCCTACTGACCTCCGGAAGGCGCAGACCACGGTGCCAGCCTCGCCAGGCGCGGCGCACTGCGAGCCCGCTAGGCGCCCAGCCGGAACCTACGGTCGGCGGCATCCACCCCGGTGGCCTGGCGCAGAGCGCCCCTCCCTCACGCCTTATAATTTAATCACATGCGATATTAAATGATCAAGCCGCTCGTTAATCATCACGCGAGTTACTGGGGCTGAACGCGTCGCTGCGTGTTTGAACCGCCGAGAGCCGTCTGCGGGACTGTGGGGTGGGTTTCTGGTCTGGGAGGTGGGGCTCTCTAACCATTCCTGAGAGACCCGCGGGGCTTGTTGCCTGCAGAAGCATCTGAAAAGCGCAGGCTGGGCTGCAGTTTGGTCCAGGGCACGCAAAAACCCATCGCATCCCGCAAGCCCCCCTTTCTTCAATGTTTGGATTTGGAGCTTAGTGATTATGGTTAAAGCAGCCCAGCATCTTAATTTGCAATTTTTCAGGAGGGCAAATTTGACTAGAATCTGAGTCTTCATTACCCAGTGTGGAGGGTTGAGAGTTCGAGCGCGAAATTCGGCCAGATTCCTGAAATTATTTCGAAATATAACTTTTTCCATAACTCAAACGAGGCTCTCTTATTTTAAGAGTGCAGCAAGTGGGAAGAAAACTAAAATTTTCAATTAAAGGCCTGATTTGGGGGTCTTTGTTTTTAAAATAATCCATGAGTTTCCTCTAAAGTTGTTAAAACCTGGTGTTACTTTCGAGAGCTCCCCCTCCTTTTAAAATGGTTCCTTTTAAAATGATTAAACCAATTAAAATTAAATTCTCATGAAGTGTTTGAGGTTTCCTAAGGGTGCATCCGGCTCCTGTAGGCCAGCAGAGCCAAACACAAAGAGAAGGAATCCGCCAGTCAGCATCTTTGTAAACATAACTAGTTTGGAGTTAGTCTTTGGAAGAGATGCAACCCCCACATCCAGCCAGCACCCCAGCCTAAGCCCAGGCTAATTGAACCAGAAGGCCAGTTTTTCAAGGGAAGAGCTACAAATTTGGCTACCTTGGTAAGCAAAGTTTTCTGAACAAATATTAGATCCAGTCACTTTTTTTGCCTTTTTTTTTTTTAACTTTTTATCGGTACCAGGGATCGAACTCACAACCACCTGCTTGCAAGGCAGGTGCTAATGCCACTGAGCTAAATCCCCAGCCCCTGATCCAGTCACTTTTAAAAATATAAAATAAAAAACAAACATCAGCCCAAGTCATATTCAAAATCCTTCACCACTCAAAACTGCATTTAGTTTCCTACCTAACTGTACGATCAATTTAATAAGCAAATAAGCACATAAATCCTGACCCCCTGGTTGTGTTTATCACAGAATATCATCAATAATATTAAATATGTCCTAGACTATTCATATTTTCTCTCCATTGAGTCTGATGTCTGCATTTTTCTATCTTGCTCCTTACACACAAAGAGATAGGTATCAAAACTCTACACACATACACACGCACACAGAGAGCTAGGAAAAATTTATAAATCCTATAGAAGTTGGGGGTGTAATATGGTGTGGTTTTATTTTCAAAAGCAAATAGAGGGACAAAAAATGTCTTGACTCTTTATCCAGACAGTTTAAGCCCACATCTGGTTGGCAATGACAGGGACCTTTGTCATCAGAGACACAGCAATGACTTTCCATCTCAGGAGCTCTTTTTAGGTAGAAGGGACTATTGACAACTGCAAGCTAAAAATAATCATGCTCAAATATTTTGTTTCTAAACTAGAGACTTCCAATATAACTGAGTTATGCAGTGAGTCTTGGTTACTGCTTACCGAAAAATAGAAGGAAGATCAAAACTGCATGAGAAGCTTTAAAAATATTAAACACGAAGTTTGGAACCACCAAAGATGGAACCCACTTATTTTCTTCATGCCACTCTTGCAGTCCCCACCTGGCTGGATTCTCACTGGATGACAGTGCTTGAGAGGTGAGAAGCTAGCATCCCTGGAGGCTCAGAAAAACTGAGGCACTACTCACAGCTTACAGTCAAAGCAAGAACCTATGATTCTTAACTCCTACTCCAGTGCTCTTTTCAAACTGTCTGTTTAGGTGGCAGGCATGCAAACTTTCAGTTGGTTCTCCTTTGTCAGCCCTTCTCCTACCACACAATAATTTTCTGAACTGGTCAGGACATATCAAATGTAGAGAGCACTACCTTTGCTGGGTACTGACCCTCCTACATGCCAAGCAAATTCTCTACCACTGAGCTGTCTTCTTGGCCTGTGGAAAGGACTCTGCACTGAGGATCCTTTCAGCCCTAAGTTTTAGTCCTGTGACCTTAGACAGATCACTCAGTAGTGAGCATTGTGTTCTACCAAATGTCGATCCCAAGCCAAAGATTTGCGTGTTAGAAGATTTTTTTCAGGAAGAGATTTCAGGAAGCAACAACAAAGGGACAGTAGGGAAAAGAAACAAGATGCAGGGAGCAGTGCACAACGCTGAGACAATCTGGTTCCCATTTGACTCAGCTGGAACTTACACAACTGCAGCTAGACTTGCTGGCAGAATTTGGGATGGCAGTGCACACATGGGCTTTAGGACAAGTAGTGGCCAGCTCTGAGCACTGCCTGGGGTATGAGTTCCTTTTTTACATCTCAGACCTGCCCCACCAGAGGCCAGCAGACTCTGGCCAAAGAGGCCCCTTAGGGTGGTGGGTGATGGCAGTTGGTGGCACCCCAGTATGCATTGACATGCTCAGAAAGTGACATCATCCCTATCCCCCAGTCCACACATTCTTCTGCAGTGTAGCTTCATCACACTCCCATCCAGTGCAGGCATCTCTTTCTCTACGCATTAAATTTAAGTGGGCCTGTGACTACTTTGACCACCAAAACATGGTGGCAGTAATGTGGTACCAGCTCCAGAGCAGGTGTTAACTGGTCTCACAGTCTCCCTGTCCTGTTTCTTGGAGCAGTGTCTCTTGGAACTCACCCTTCAGAATCCAGCAGACATGACAGCATGCCAAGCCACTTGGAAAGGGACCAGGTGCAGATACAGTGCAACTGCCCCTGCCAAGATCCCAGCAGATATCCTGCTTCAGCCTTCAGTCTGGGCTGAGTCATCCAGAAGGCTGCCACTCTGCCTATCTGAGGGTAGCCACACCAGAGACCCAGCAATGGTGAGTTTTCTGTGTCAGTTATAGTACCCAGTATTTAACCATACACCAATCTAGGTGTTGCTGTGATAGCATACATTTAATTGACTTTAAGTAAAACACAGTATCCCTTTTATCCCTGAAGAAGAAATTCTATCTGAAGATTATCACATCAACACTAGCCTGTGTTTGCAGCCTGCCAGCAAATGTCACAATTGCCTCCTCTGCAATACAATACAATGTAAAAGTTATGTGTCTTAGTTACTTTCTTGATGCCAAGACACAATATGACACACCCACAATGTAAAATGAGAGTGTTACTTTGAATTTTAGAGGATTCACTACATAGTTAACTGGTTCCAGGGCAGGAACAGCATGGCAGAAGGGACTAGAGGAAGAGAGCTGTTCACATCATGACAATCAGGAAGCAGAGAGGGAAGAGAGGCAACAAGGGGGATGTACTCTTGCAGGCCATACCCTAGTGAATAGCCTCTAACCAGGCCCCACCTCCTAACAGCCAAGCAGCTGTGGACTTATTTGTGGGTGAATCTGCTGATAATATAGCACCCCATGCTGCAATCATCTTCAAAAAGTCCACCTGTGAACTTTGAAGGTCTTGGAGGACATTTTGGATCTAAACCATAACATTATATAAATAATTATTTCATTGTATTAGTTGATACACTGTGTAAACTTGAAAAGTTTAGAAGTTTCAGGAAGGGACTCAGCAGGGGGCCAAGGTCCTCACTTTGTAAACATCCTGAGCCTGTGCAAGTGGCCGGCACAAAGATGGGATGAGTGCTACACCTGCCCTGGGGATGGTAGCCTGCCTACAATATAAGGGAGGGAAAGAGGCTTGTGCCCCTCTCGTTTGCTCTTGCTGCTCTTGCTGTATTCTGCTGCCTTGAAGTGTTGTCCCTGTGCCATGCCACCCTGCCTTGGAGCCAACTGATTACAAACTGAAGCCTCCACAAACTGTGAGCTAAATAAACTTTTCATTCCTGAATTTTGAGTGTCAGGTATTTTGTCCCAGCAACAAGAGAAACCTCTCAAAAGCTCTGCCTCTGAGCTCTGAGAGTATTGGGGGACATTCTGGATCTAAACCATAATATTATATGAATAATTATTTTACTGTATTATTTAGGAGATAATGACAATAAACAAGAGTTCTATATGTTCAGTACAGGTGCAACCATTGTAGCTCTGACTGCATATTTGCATACATGCATATGCATATTAAATACATATAATGTGTTCTGTTTCTCTGGAGAACTTGCTAAAAACCTCAGGCAAGAAACACCCACCCGGCAGCACTCAGGAAACCCACAGAACCACACAAAATACTTTTAAAAAATTGTTTACCATGCAGCCAGTGGTAATCAGAATAGGAAATGACATTGCCTACCATGCACACTTCGCTTCTTTGTGTCTCAATTTAGGCATTGTATCTTGTCAAAGGCCCCACCTCTTGACATCAGTACACTGGGACTAGCTTTCAACACATGAATTCTGGAGGTACACAAATATTCAGAGGGATTAATGCTCCTGGGGCAGTCCAGGATCAGTGACTGGTAGGATGGATAGATTTTTTTAAACCCCATTTTGATCTTTCAATCAATATGACTCTATTCCATTCTACATGGTCCCTCAGCAGGACCAGTAGGGTTGCCAGACAGCTGCCCACTGTGAAACCCTGCTCAGTGAGGCCCCTGACAGCTGCTTGCTTCCCTTCTCTACCTCCTATTCCCTCTCTTTCTACCACTTCCTGG